CCCTCACTGATGACTCATTGAGCAATGTTGAATACATTGGCAAGAGCACAGTAACTCACAGCAATCATGTTAGACAATCCAAAAAAATGAATACAATGTTTCCAGATTCCCCACAAACAGGTAATGTAGCAATTACATTTTGCATTGTTGATAACCGGAGCTTTAATAGGAATACATTCGGGACACGTTTCCTGGTACTAGTATATAGCTCTAGGTCCTTGCATGTGCAACCTGTTAACACATTGTCTGCTGAATTTGTTTTTTCCATTTCATGGAGGTATTTGGGAGGTGATGTGATAATTGTAAACTACTGCTGTTTTAGGTACATACACTTACTGGAATATGTTCTGCAGTAACTTCTCACCTTCTGTAGTTTGCAATTTTTTCTGCATATCGATGACTGCGGCTTGGATGTTTTTATTACAGGCTTCACCAGCTTTGCTGCTAGCAAGTGAGTCTCTTACCACCTCTAAATATTCTGAAATTCAAAAGACATTAGGGAGTTGGCCATTAGAAACTCTGGTAGCATTATTTTTTTTCTCCTTTAGTTTGATTTGAGTTAGATCTGATTTTTCAAAATGATGTAAATTGATTATATTGTTTTTCTATTCCAGGGGATGTTTGGTACATATTTCTGCTTGTCACTGTATCAAAATGATTTTTCAATAATAATACAGCCTTCTTTTAATAATAGTCTCTGCAGATTTTTTTCTCCAAATCTAGTACCCTAATATTTGTAATCATGTACCCCAAAATTTGACTTTCATTGTTGCATTTTTTTTTTCACTTTCATCTGACCAGAATCTGTAAGCTCTTCATATCAGAACCACCACTCATACAAAAGAATAGGAAATGACATAAGTGTTGATGTAGTTTTTCCTATTGCTTTGTTCAGGTATTTGCTGTTGTAAAAAATTAATGGTGTCTCATCAAATTAAAGAAGTGCATGTCTGCATGCGTGCTCCTGATATTTTAACTGACTTGCCCAGGTATTAGTGCAACATGTTTTGTTCATTTTTTAAGTTGCAGATATCAATTGAAATAAATATTGAACTTAAAATGTTAAAACTACAAGACTTTCTACCAGTTAAATTACAGTGTTCGATAGAAACAATTATATGGTGAGATTTATGTGGTCATAAAATATACTTTATAAATGCAGCACTTTGTGTTATTCTCCCGGGGGTATACATTACGTATGTATGTATGGAAATATGTATGGGGGTCTAAAAACTAACTCTGCGACGCGATTGTGCGACTCGCCGAATGTCGATTATTGCACTCTGCGACACGATTGCAGTGTCACTCTGCGAAGAGCACAATTCCTATTGGCTGGTGGGTCGAAAAGCGTGAATCTCAATGGTCGATCGATGTAATGATAATGAGCATAGTCGTCAGGACGAAGGCTTACAAGATGGCGATAACGTTACACTGTAAATAGACAGTCAAAACCAACGTGCACGTTACACTATTTAATTTTTCTAGCCAGCGGTGTGATGTGTCTAATCACCGTGAACCATGTGTCATTTGTTTGGTCCCACAATTTGTATTCCATGTGCTTGCCGATCACCGAACAGTGCAGCATGTCGCCGGTACATAGTGTTTACACACATTTTTTTACCATACCATTTTTACCATTTAAAACTTAATTTTTTATAAGTCATGCAGTGAACCATTGGGATTCGCACTGTTCGACCCACCAGCCAATAGGAATCGCAACAAATCTTATAAAGATTTCTTCTTTTTTTCATTAAAACCATAATAAATGTGCTCACCAGTAAAGTTCAGCTTGGCTAATACAGGTGCACTAGTGGCCACAGCACCATCCACCAAGTGAGGATATTTAATACGAAACCAAGCGGCAAGATTACCTGAAAATGCAGTTGTTATTTAAGAGCTTTTATTTTTCAAGTTTTCTTTCAAATTTTCTTCTTCTGTTATTATTAAAAAAAATAAAAACATTATTTCTGCTGATTTTTTGTTGTTACAATTTGTTTGTTTTGTTGGATTTTCTGTTTTCAATATATATATATTAAAATGCAGTTCTGCATATCCCTGGGACTGCACAAGTGCATCATGGGAAATGCAATTCAAATGGCTCAACCTTTTTTTTTTTGCTAAACAAACACTGTCCAAACAAACCACTGTCAATCCTAACATGTCTGCCTTGAAAGAATGTACTGTAGAATACTTATTCCTGCTTGGAATTTAATTTTGCTATTTTCTCTGAAGGGATGGATGGTTCAGTGAAAAGAAAATCCAACGAATATACTTTTTTTTACTATGTCTCACATTCAACTCATCAAAATCAAAAAGTATTTCATAGTATTATCATGAACAGGAGATAATAAAATACTCCATGCATTCCACCTATAAAAATGAGTTTTTATAGAGCTTTCCGACAAGATGCAACCTATACTCTCATTATTATTGGTTCACGTCACTAGGATATCGAAAATGAAAATAAAAAATGTGGTCCTCAGAGATTTGAGTCTGAAATGTCGTGGATTACATTTTATTTTCATTTTTTGTTTATGGGGACAGAATTTTTTTTATAAATTTGGAAAATTTATAGACTATTATTGACATGAATCATAATACCGTAAAAAATTGTGCAATATTTAAAATTAACTCAAATGGTCATATCATAATACCAATTAGTCTTAGAACACCATCGTTTTAGTGTCAAAAATTAGAATGTAACATTTTGCCCAATTTTTTTATTTTTCTATAATTTCTTTGTTGACTTTGTACTTCATCGTCAAAATTTTCCACTGATTACAGGTCAATTTATTAAGGAAAAAAAATGCTGTAGTTTTGTGAAAGTTAACAATACTGGTAGTTGACTTTGACATGGAATGGGTTACTATAATCTTGTGATGAAAATCACTATTAGATATTGTAAATAGAAAAAGATAAAACTAACAGGGACTATGTCACTGACTTTAATAGCATATTTTTTTTTATTTTTTTAAACGGTGTAAAAATGTCAGGTCAAAAGAAAATCGATTTTCTATCAAGTAACATACATTCACCTTGATATATTTGTGACTAAACGATAACTTACCGGAATATGAACCACCAAAGGCAATCCACTTGTTGTTTGTTATATTCAACTTTTCACCGATATAATTCCTAAAATAAGCCAAGTCTGCTAAGGCCTGTTCACTGCTCAAATACTGTAAGCTATCAGTACTCACATCTCTGTTGACATGGAAACAATTACATTACCATAAACTCTGTAAACTCAGAATTAGTTATCCCAATCTAATGATAGAGAAAGGCTGGAGCATACATGATCAAAAACAAATTTTGATGAAAACTTCTGTGAAAGCTACAACATAAAGTTGAGGATGAATTTTACTTTCTGATTCACAGCCCACTACATAAAGAAATACGACTAAGGTTATCTAAGTCAATACAAAGCTCAGATCCATAGTTCAATTTGTTAGAAAACGAGGCAAAGTTCTTATATATTATGTGCAACACATAAAGAACTTACAGTTTGTTTTTTTCTAAATGTTTTTTGTACCCGGCGACAGTTCTGGACATTGAATGTCACTGTTGTCTCTCCTGACTTTTTTTTTGTATGTGCAAGTTACAAGTGCTGAAATATAGTGTATTTTGCCACAGAAGCCATATCCATGTTTTGGGACTACACACATGACAGCTGTGCAGCCATCTCTCTATCAAATGGCAATTTACTGCGCTATCCTGAAGTCGACCAGGCTCAGTCGAACCCCACGCACCTGCGAACCTTAACCACGGTTCCCCCAAATTCACATTCATTAGTGAATGAATCTCGGCCGGTGGAATTGGCCTTCCCATTCAGTCTGTGGTACACTCACCCAGGGTAGGGGTTGACCCTTTAGGTGTTCAGCCTAAGGTAGGATTTGAACTTGGGTCTACCGATCATGAGTCTGATGCAACAACCACTATGCTACCAGTGACCGGTCCTTACAGTTTATATTAACGAATTTAAGTGGTATTTTCTGAAATAATTTCATCTTTATGTATTTATCATATATGAAACACAATTTTTTTTTGAAATCATTATTTTTGTTTGTCATTTAGAATAGCATTATTTTGACTATGTTTCATATAAAGTTATGATAAACTTATTTCTTATTATAAATTTTTTGGTAATGCATCAGTTTTTTATTGATGCATGAAAATATCCAATTGTCAATGTTTTAAGTGCAACAGGCTTCATATTTAAATTGGAGTAAACAATGTATTTTATGCATTGCATGTGTGTTGCATGGAACCCATATTAAAAAGAACCGTGATACTTTAAGTACATCATTTAAGTCTATAATAAAAAAAAATTCTCATGTTAGTCTTATTCCACTATGTATTGTATTTGAGCTAAAAACCTAATTATATGTTTCTCCCCTGAACCAACGTTGTATTGCTAAATAGAGAGTCGTCCATAGTAAGGTAGTTTTAAAATTATGGCCTTTTTGTGGCACTTGTTGATTAACTAAAGTAGCTTGCAAATTCACCAATCGCACACCTTCATTCCATTACAGAGAACCAATCAATCTACTTGTAGAAGCAGATGATCATGCCTTTGTTCAAAAACAGGCACTGATTGGATTTTTGCTAAAAATCATGATGACAATAATTCTTAAACACATGCGTAACAGTTGGTGAGTATATAATTGGGAAAATGTACATGTACATGTACTGGTAAGGGAGAATGTGCATTGTTGCAGACAACAAAAGTAATCTATATGGAAAATATCAATAATTTACACTGTAGGATGGCTTTTTCCATAGTATCTGTGCTCGACGAGAAGACACAAAGCTCCATATTTCATTGCATATTGTATCCATGTTGTTTCAGCCATCAGCCATTTTGAATTTAATGGACCTTCTCCGCCAATATTCAGAAACACTGGACCTCCAGCTATGTAGTGACTATCGTCAATGTAGTAGCGCTGAAAACAAAGAAAACATTTTTTGTTTCAATTAGTTTGGTAATTTGATAATTTTATTTTATATGTTTAATTTTATTTTTCAATTATACTACTAGTATATATTTTTATTATTTTTTACTGTATTTGTATGTATTTTGTTGTAATTGTAACTTTTATTGTTACATCTTAATTTGTGTCATTGCCACATACTTCACCAATATCAAAACTTCTAAAAAATAAAAACAGCAAATAAATAAATTCAATAAAAGTAAAAGAAAGTGTATGATAAAAATAGTTGAAAATACATTAAAAAAAAAAAAAAAAAAAAAAAAAAAATAAAAAAAAAAAAAAGAAGCCCAAACATGGATCTTACTTTAATCAGATAGGGTAAATACCATGAATTAATGGGTACAAATTTGTGACATATTCAAATGTTGAGTTTGGCAAGCCAATTATAAGGTTAGTCAATCAATTGTATAGACCATAGTAAAAAATATTGTGACAAAATTATGTATTCTTCAACCTTATGTAGATCCATTCATTCAGTATTTCATAGCCCAATTTGTTCAAGGATGCCAGAACATACTAGGTAAGTCAGAATAGAGGGGTGTCTGAACATGGAGATGCCTGAATATAGGGGTATCAAAATATAAAGATGTCAGAACATAATATGGGTGTCAGAGCATAGGGGTGTCGGAATATAGGGGTGTCGGAATATAGGGGTGTCGGAATATAGGGGTGTCGGAACATAGGGGTGTTGAAATATATGGTGTCAGAATATATAGGGAATATAGAGACCGAGGTAAACTTATAATGCAGCTAAGAATTTTGATTTGAATTTGTGTAACTAATTTCAATTTCATATGATTTCTGGGACATATAATAATGTTGTACATTGTATGTCTGGCGCATATTCATCTTGTACAATATTACTTAACTACAAATAGTCTTGTTAAATAATTAAAAGTGACACCCCAAGTGAAACCACATTGTAAACGTATTGAATTTTTTATGGGAAAATACACAACAATATTATTAAGTTAAAAACAGACAAAAATCACATGTTTAAGACAATTCCTTATTTTCCGACATAAAAACGTTCACATCTCCCAAATCTATACAGGCCTGCACCACGATGTTAATTAGAGGCGCTCAGAACGTTTTTGGATAATAAAAAGAACCTAAAATAGGTATACTTAGTCAGTCGCCGCTACATTTGCCGACAACTCATTATTATACGAGTGGTCGGCGAATGTACCAGCGACTAACTATAAAGTATACGACCCTACTTTAGGTCAACTACGTTGCATACTTTAGCACACATGTGGAGTTAAAGCGGGGGAGTCGTCACATGCGCATGCGTCAGATGGCCATAGCGTGTCATTGTTTACAAACAAGAGTCTATCCATGAGCCTTTGCGTTCTCAGCGTGTGTTTTTATCATTGCTTGGGACTCAATTCCTGCGCGTGCTCAGGTGACAGCACTCCCACTTTAATCAATCGACAGAATATATTAAAGGGCAGTAGTCGTTGTGTCACGCATGTGCGAGAGATATGGGTGTCATATAAACAAAGATGGCGACTTTGACTGTTGTGCAGATCACAGTCCCTCAACAGGGACTGTTGAGGGACTGTGTGCAGATCAATGAATACAAACTGAGACATTTCCAAGCTTTAATTAGATAATTTTTAGGTGATTGGAAGGTCTCGAAGGAGTCACCGGCGGTATTCAGTGCAAGTCGCGTCCAGGTCAGCCCTCATACTTGTGATTTCCATTTGAAGAGCGCATTGGATTGTAGGAAAGTCAATGTTTATCAACACAAATGTCGCACATGCGCAGCGCGACGACTACCGCGCATTAAATCCATTATAACTCACACACAAAATTGGGGTATACCTGTTGCCATGTCCGGAGATCGGCATCATTATAATGATCAAGTCGTTGGGATATCCACTGTTCTTGTGGCTCGGTGTGGGGACGTTCTGACAATACTGGTACTCCTACCATTCCACCTCTTGGTCTACCGTTCATAAAGTATGGTAGGGAGAAAACAGAAGGAAGTACTGTAAGGAATACGCAAAGAAGGTATCCCATCCCGTTACTACCAGCCATATTGTTGGCCAACATATGATTGTCACGTGCGCGGTCAGGTGACTGCTAGAAAAGTGTATCGAATGACCCCAGGTTTCAAACTTTGCTTGTCAGGGCGAAGTAATTGCGAACTCCCGACGAATCCCCGAGAGCACCCTAACGATATTCTCCGGTACCGTTTATTATTATGGCTTGAGTACTATAATAATACGAATTCAGATAACATGAACTTAAATACGTTTCATGATAGTGTTAAAATGAATTATTAAGATTTGAAAACAGTGTACCACACAATGATATATTAGATACAGAAATTACGCAAAAAGAAATTGTTAATGCATTGAAAATACAAAAAAAAAAAAAACTAAAAAAGCAGCAGGCTTGGGTGGTTTATGTATTGAACTTTTGAAATACAGTTATAATTTCTTAATTGAACCTCTAGTTAAATTGTTTAATTTAATTCATGGATCTTCAATATTTCCTGATATTTGGAATACCAGTATAATTACACATTTATATGTGGCAAGCATGATCCCCAAAACTACAGAGGAATATCTGTATCTAGTTGTATTGGTAAACTGTTTTGTAGCATAACAAATTCTCGTCTTATTTAACGTTTTTATATAACCCATCCTTCTATATGGAACAGAGGTATGGGGACAAAGTTTCATCAGCAACAACAAATGGGGGGAAAAACACAATAGAAAAAAAATATTTGAAGTTTTGTAAGCAGGACCTCATGTAATCTAGCAGCAAGAGCAGAATTGGGGCAATATCCTCTTTTAATTGACATCAAAAAAATACTAATAAAAAAGAAAGAAACTCAACAGCAAAGTTCGGAAAGTCGCTTTGAAAGACAGCAAAATTGCTTGGAATATCACGAAACTCGTTATCAAGCGACTTTCCGAAATTTGCAGACTTTTCAAAGTTTCGTAACTTTTCAAGCAACCTTTCCGTCTTTTAAAATTGACTTTCCGAACTTTGCTGACGAGTTTCATTACGTTCCAAGCATCTTTCTCGTCTCTCAAAGCGACTTTTAGAACATTGCATTTGTGACTTTTCAACCAACTTTCCCGTCTTTCAAAGCCAATTTTCAAACTTTGCTCACTAGTTTCTTGCAACCTTTTCGTAGTTCCACTTCAAGCAATTTTGCAGTCTTTTAAAGCAACTTTTTGAAAATGCTGACGAGTTTCGTGTCTTTTCAAGCAGTTTTGCAGTCTTTCAGAGCGATTTTCCGAACTTTGCTGACGAGTTTCGTGACTTTTGAAACAACTTTCCCGTTCTTCAAAGCGACTCTCCGAACATTACTGACGAGTTTCGCGATATTTTCAAGTAATTTCCTCATCTTTTAAAGCGAATTTCCGAACATTGCTGTCGAGGTACGTGATTTTTCAAGGAACTTTCCCGCAATTGAAAGGGATTTTTGAATTTTGTTGATGAGTCTCTTGACTTTCCATCCTTCAAAGTTACTTTCCGAACTTTGGTGTCGAGTTTCTTGACATTGCAAGCAAACTTTTCCGTTTTACAAAACCACTTTCCGCACATTACTGACGAGTCTCGCGACTTTTTAAGTAATTTCTCCATCTTTCAAAGCGTATTTTCTTACATTGCCCTTGAGCAACTTTCCCGTCTTTCAACGCGATTTCCCGAACTTGCTGACGAGTTTCTTGACCTTTCCAGTAACCTTCACGTTTTTCAAAGCGATTTTTTGAAATTTGCGTACAATTTTTCAGTCTTTCAAAGCGATTTCCAGAATTTTGGTGACGAGTTTCTTGACTTTTCAAGTAACTTTCCCGTCTTTCCAAGCGACTTTCCGAACTTTGATAACGAGTTTCGTGATATTCCAAGCAATTTTGCTGTCTTTCAAAGCGACTTTCCGAACTTTGCTGTTGAGTTTCTTGACATTTCAAGCAACTTTCCCGTCTTTCAAAGCGTCTTTCCGAAGTATACAGAAGAGTTCCGTGACTTTTCATGCAACTTTCCGGTCTTTCAAAGCGGTTTTCCGAATCTGCTTTCGAATTTCCCCGACTTTCCAAACAATTTTCTCGTCTTTCAAAAGCGACTTTCTGAACTTTTGTGACGAGTTTCTTGACTTTTCAGGCAATTTTGACGTCTTTCAAAGCGACATCTCAAAATGAGGTTTTTGACCTTTCAAGTAACTTTCCCCGTCTTTCAAAGCGACTTTCCGAAATTTGATAACGAGATTTTTGACTTTTCAAGCAACTTTCCCATCTTTCAAAATTGTTTTTCGAACTTTCTTTACTTTACAAACAGCTTTCTCGTATTTCAAGTTTCTTGACATTACTTGCAATTTTCCTGTTCATCAAAGCGACGAGTTTCGTGACTTTACAATCAACATTACCGTCTTTAAAGCGACTTTTGGAACTTTTCTGACGAGGTGATTGACTTTTCAAGCCATTTTCCAAATTTTCAAAGCGACTTTCCAAACTTTACCGTCGAGTTTATTGGCTTTTCAAGCAATTTTGCCATCTTCCAAAGCGACATTCTGAACTTTGCTGACGAGATTCTTCACTTTTCATACAACTTTTCTGTTCTTTCATAGCGACTTTTCGAACTTTGTTGACGAGTTTTGTGACTTTTCGAGCAACTTTCCCGTTTTTCAAAGCGACTTTCCAAACTTTTCTAACGAGTTTCGTGACATTCCAAACAATTTTGCCGTCTTTCAAAGCGACTTTCCAAACTTTGCTGTCGAGTTTCTTTACATTTCAAGCGACTTTCCCGTCTTTCAAAGCGTCTTTTCAAAGCATGAAGAAGAGTTCTGTGACTTTTTAAACAACTCTCCCGTCTTTCAAAGCGACTTGCTGCACTTTGGTGACGAGTCTCTTGATTTTTTCTCAAGCAAATTTCCTGTCTTTCCAAGCGACTTTCTGATCTTTGCTAACGAGTTTCGTAATATTTCAAGCAATTTCGCCGTCTTTGAAAGCGACTTCTTGAAATTTGCTGACGAGTTTTGTGACTTTTCAAGCAGTTTTGCCGTCTTTAAAGCGACATTCCAAACTTTGCTGACAAGTTTTTGTAAACTTTCACGTTTTTCAAAGCGATTTTTCGAAATTTGCTGACGAGTTTTGTGAGTTTTCAAATAATTTTTCTGCCTTTTAAAGCGATTTTCCCAACTTTGGTAACATGTTTCCCTTTCAAGCAGTTTTGCCGTCTTTCAAGCGACATTCCAAAATTTGCTGACGAGTTTTTTGAATTTTCAAAGTAACTTTCCCCGTCTTTCAAAGCAAGATTCTTGACTTTTCGAGCAACATTCCTGTTTTTCAAAATGTTTTTTAGAAATTTGTTGACGAGTTTTTTACTTTATCAGCAATAATTTCGGTTTTTCAAAGCATCTTTCCGAACTTTTCTGACGAAATGTTTGACTTTTCAAGCATTTTCTCATCTTTCGAAGTGACTTTTCGAACTTTGATGCCGAGATTCATGAACGTCTCCACATTGACAGCTCACTCAGGTAAATAAATGTTGTATTGTTAACATGTGGGAGATTTTTTCAAATCATTATCTTGAGATCTTAATATCACCAAATTATATGTTATAAGTAGGACACAGAACAGCATAATTATCTCTGATTTGACATTGAGAAGTGTAAGCAGTGACATTAGCAGTCACTGTATACTATCATATATCATGTGCGTGTACAAAAAACGTGTTCATCTATGGTAATTGAACTCAAGCAAAAAATACAGGTATGATTAGGACGATGCATGCTTACAACATGCTTACGGAATGTTAGCTGAATGGAAATTGTAATTACATTAATTTGAAAGTGTTTGCATGCATGCATTCATAGAAATCTTGAAAATCGTGTATAAGCTAGCTCTCCAAGTGAAAACAAATCTCTGCATAGGAGGTCGCTATGTTTGGATACTTTATCTGCCAAAATGTACCAATCCACCGAGACCCAAGACAGAGTAAACAATAAAAGCTACCCGCTCTTGATATTGCAGTCAACCCTCACATTTTACAACAAACAATTGCCCTCTGCTACACATATAGCTTATCAGAGGAGAAACTATTTGAATAACCGGCCTCATACGGCATGACTCCCCAGGACGAAAACGAAAGTAAACAGCATGGCCACGGATAGAGGGCAACATTTGTACGATCAATCATCGGTTCTTTATTGCTGACATGTATTATTTTCAAGTGCACACTCGAGACATCAGACATACTTAGACATTTTCAATTAAATATTTTTAATTAATTTAATGTAACTTATAGAAACCTTTCCGCTATTAGGCCTTCTCTGCTCTCAATTTCCACTGTTTTATGTAAATTACTTACCCTAATGCCACGCCTCATCTGAATAGATTCATGAAGAGTATCATTTCCGATAGCGTCATAGTATTTATACAATGGCAGTAGTTGTCTACCCATAGGGCCATATGCGTAAAGTATTTGCCAGTTATCTACTATGAGTGCTGCGCAAGACCATATGATTGAATACCACTAATCATATTTTCTTGTATTTGTAATCCCAACAAAATACACTTCAAAATATGGTTATAAACACAACAATAACATATTAACGACAATTACCAGAACAAGTTCATATTCGTGCGAAGTCGCATTGTACGTTTTATGCACAGTTTCCGACCGGTGTTTCCTGTACGAGTGAGTACAGTTATGACCCAGCAAACATGGAGAGGGCAGTCAAACGTAGCAACTCCACACACAGTGCGCTTTGTCGGTCGTGTTGACCGGTTAGCCATCTGCCTTGATGTCAGTTAAACTAAATCGAAATATATGATCGTTCAGTATAGTCTTGACCTACAACGGCTACAAGCCAATTAGTCACGCAACAGCTGGCAATGTTAATTCCCGCAATATTGAATCCATGACCACATATTCAATGTCAAATACGCGATCATCAGTGATCGCCCTCTATGTTCATACTCATAGTGAGATGTAAAGAGTTGTGAGAACTGGCTATAAGTGTTTGTACAGTCTATCAATATCCACCATATTATATTACGCCAATGGCATACGTCTATATATTT